TTCAAATAACCACTCCTGAAGACGTGAACTTTTGGTACAAAATGCTCCTTACAAATTATCTACAATTGAACCACAATAATGAGTATCAAGTATTCATACAGTTAAACGCTATTATTTGATATATTCTTTTCAAACGAGGCTGGAGGCAGGGTTTGTTACTAACCCATAATAGGGAAAAGTGACAAGCAGCTATTTAGAGTTTCCGAGTGGAAGAATGGAAGAAAGAGGGAGAGGGAGAGGGGGAGGTGTGCCTAGCGAAGTTGAGGGCATCGAACGGAACCGCGATTGCGGAGTTGGAGCAGACCACAAGACGAAGGAGGGAAGGTTGGAAGGATGGAAGTCACCACTGCGGCCCAGATATCTTCGAGGTCAGCGCCGCGGCGCCGAGCGATCGACAGAGTGCGACGGCGATAAAACTCTCGCAATGTTACCCTTCACAGATTTTTTTGTTGACCCCCCTCCCCACCCAAATAAATTGAAGCAACCGAAAATGTTTTTTCCAAACATAGAAACTGTAGTAATATTACCTTCCAAAACCCACATCCCCACTAAACACGCATACATAAAAATGGAATTACCCGTCGCGCAGCCTCAGGGAGCGTTCGTTCGAGTTGTCTCAAGTCAGATCCGTACGCAAACATTTTGCGCTTTTTGAAGAAATCTTTTAAAAGTTGTACAGTTTCGTATTGGAACCCAATTCCGAACATTTCTAACAACTCACGCAACGGAGTGCGTGTACACTGCGTTGCTCGAGAATTAAGCAATCATAATAATACATTACATATAAAAAGGAATAAATTTAATGTGGGGTGTATCGCTGCCTTCCCACCGCAGCCAGCTCTGTACTGTCCCCTTCCCCAGCCTGACCACCACCGCCATCTCTCTACTAACCCTATCCCGCCCCAATTTATCCTGCCTCTCCCCCCCGAAACTTCTCACCCGACAATCTTTGTTCCTACCACTATCATCGCTGGGACCATATTGTGGCAACAGACAGTGTTGCCTACGCCCAGAAAACATTCAGGAACAATGTTGACTTTGAATTAATCTGAGCCTAAACGCGCTATTGGAATGAATCAAATTGCATTTAGTAGACGCGTTTATGGGCTTCTAGAAAATATTTATTCACTTTGATGCATATAGTTATCGTTTTCGAAATATTAGTGAAAGTGCGAAGAATTAACTTTAAAGTTTTGTACTGAGGGATAGGAAAGGGAGATAGGTTTCGTAAATATTTCTACTAAGCCCGTACCTTTTTTCCTCTTGTTTTGAAGGCAATGTGCATACAATGTCATTAAGATAGGAATAATACTTTAGATGTATTTGAAACCATTTAGAATATAATGATAATTTGAAAAAATGCAGCGTACGTTAAGCCCGACAAAACACAACCTTTAAGTAAAAACTGCATCGAAATTTGTTCAGCCATCCCGGACAACCAAACAACTTGAAAATAGCTGAAATGGTGTTTATAGCATACACTATTATAAAAAGCCTGTTATTCTGAAACCAAATATAAAAGATCTATTTTTATGTAGAAGAGTAATGTTGCTCGGCAAAAGAAACAATTCCTAAGTGCGTAGGCTTCCGCAACCGGAGTCATTAACTACTTGATAGGGCTACTTGGCTGATAGGGCGACGCCGCAATGTATGTCAAATTTGCGTGTTTTCTTAAATGCTTAAACGACATTTTCTCAAAAGCGGCTTCACATTTTTTCTTAAAACTTTTTGTGTGAATAGTGCAAAGTACACTGATACAGGACTTTTACGTCATTCTGACGTATTCCTTTAAAGTTTGAAAAATTGCCCGAAGGTATTTTTCAAAAACACCTCTCATATCGTTAATATATTTACACTCCGGGCATTTTCTATACATTATTTGTGAATACAAGTGCTTCAAATGACTTCAAATAAAGTTTCTCGATAACTCAAAACCTTTCAGGGAAAATTAACTTGAAATTTTCCATTGTTAAAAGGCTCAAACGAAATTTCCTGAAGAATCCTCAAGGCCTCAAATTTTTCAATAAAAATTTTCATATAGAACTATATTTTACTCATCTGTAATATTCTTAAAGATATATCAATTCTACTATTAGGGAACTGAAAAATTGAGAAACCGAAAAAAAATGTGTTGACGTCGATAGCAGCTGGGAGGAGGGTGGAGGGCAATAGCGAAAAGCTAGACTAGGCTTAAGTTATTAGAAAACTAGTGCGAGAAAGTTTGTGCCATTCTGTAGCACCACCTCTTGAATTATGGAAAGGCTGTAGCACGTGTGTTGCGGGTTGCCTGTGCGGGTCTTGTTTCCTTATTATAATCGAAGAGATTCTACATTTTTCGTCTTAAATCTTGTCGATGGATTCCTAAGAGAAATTCTCTATCAAAAAGTCTTATTTACGGGGGAGTTTCGTCGAGAGTGTATCGTAATCAGTTCAAAAAAATTCTCACAGTAAACCCTTCTTAGCACGAACTTTTAACACGAATTTCGCTGTAACACTAACAGTATTAAGGTCCCATCAAGGAAACATTAACATTAACACATTTTTTCGGTCCCTTGGAATTCATGTGAACGAGAGTTTACTGTATTTCTTTAGCGTATTATACGTAGAGGGGATTATTTAAGACAGTCCAAGACCCGCGTTACATGCATTTTTCGTCCGTTTTTCGTCGGTGCAGAAAAGAGACAAGCAATCCAGATTTACTACCAGCTTTTTGACGACACTTTCCGGGACTGCTTTGTTATGAACTGAACTTTTCCGTTTTAGATGACGTTCTGAAAGGGCAGCTAAAGCAACAATAATGGTAACTGTCGCCTTAGACGCCATTGCTGCCACTCCCGTGGGAACGAAAAAGTTTGATCATTCCAAAATACAGAAAGCAAAGCCTATCTCGCTCGTTTTAACTTGGCACTTTATTCTCTCCGCAGTCGCAACGTAATTTATGACAAACAGATACGTTTGCAGATATTCAAGCTCCTGTACTCTTTAATGTGTGAGGAGAAAATATTTTCGTCACGATAACTTGCACAAAACGAAATGATCATGTTATCTGTAACTTCTTTATTTAGATTTGATAAAGAAACCGTACTATGTAAAACGGCGCTACATGGTAAATTGACTTTTGGTACATGGAAAATGACTAAACTAGACAGTGTAAAGCGGGCGTTACGTAATATACCGAAGAACTTGGTTCTACATCCCCTTTTGTTTCCGATCCATTATGTAAAGATACCTCCTATGGGCTATGGAAATGCAGTTATATGCATACCTAAGATGACTTGCTGATTTTCGTAAGCGGAAAACCTTGCAAAGTGTCCCAGTTAATAACATAAACAATTATCTAACTTCCTTACTTTATTGTCAGTGTGAAATGATCTTAAGATGAAGGCAACAAAATCTCAATCGATAAAACTCCACCAAACTCCTAAAGCCCTTCAAACCCGAAATATTGAAAATTCCATAGTTACATATTTGCGACGTTCTGGTTTGAAGTTTTAATTCTCGCTCTTGTCAATGAAAAATCCCTAAATTGGTAGCTTCACACTCGTGACATGCTTCGTTGCCAGTGAATCATTTTGACCAAACTTAGAATTACAATTTAGGATTGCCGAAACCCCGCCGCTCTGCGAAATTTATCCTTTCGCTAGCCATACGAGTTTGGGCACCAGTCAATTATGCTTCTCAAGTGGCAGTTTAGAAAAAGCAGTTGATGTTAGATGCAAGTTTTCATGAAGAATTTATTTCGTCCATTAACGTCACTAAAACAGGATATTGTAAAAATTTATAAGAATAATCAGGTCGAAAATCATGTGAGAATATTATAATATTTTCTTTGACTTAAAAATGCACAAGTGCAAGTTGAATGGCTAAGCTCAACAATCCACAACCGCGAATATCAAAGTACCCGCGGTGTCAACTCAACAAGCTTTCATCTAAATACGCAATGCATGGTCTCTAAACCAAAGAAACGCGAGTAATATTTCTTCAAATAGACTGTTACAACCATTATTTTTTGTTACATTTTAACTAAATAAATACATTGGCACCTTGCGAACATTTTCCAGTTGCGAAATGGCAATCGATCAGATTTTTGCCCAGTTTCCTTTATTCATTGAGCAAATGCTGAGATAATCCCATGCTTTGCTTCTGAACATGAACTAGCTTCACCATGCGCACGTTTTATTGAGCTCTTCTTTTGCTAGTAGTGGTAAGAGTAGAGTCGGGAATGAGTTACTATTTTTTTAGCAATATGAAAAAATAAAATCTGAAAGTTAATTTGTAAGTTTTCATGTAAGTTTTCAAAAACTCGGAAGCCAAAATGTCTAGTTTTCAAATGTTGATAACGTCGCTTTTTTTGAAACTTTTCAGCTCTTCACCTTACAATATTCAGCATTCACCATTCAGCTATTCATAGTTAAAATGTTGGGAAGAGATTCAGAAGCTTAAGAAAACGTGTGGAATTTGCACTTCTCCCCTATGCGTCGCATATGGTTACTGTTCTTTGAGTAAATAAAGCAAAGCAAATCAAATTTAAAAAAAATAGGACCGTACCCCCAGCGCCAGTTAACCAGCGTTTGTGAAACGAATACGATTTGGCACCAATTGGTGTCAAAATAATTGATCTGTTTCTGAACTGAGTATACTTGTTACATTTTGTACTCTTCAAAGTACTTAAATGCGCTCACACATGTTTTCCAAACAAAACGAAAGATCTACTCTCGGAAAATAAATGAACTAAACAAAGCTATTAACTAATATATCAGTGAATATGTTAATAACTACTCAATAGTCAACACTTGATAAATAATTTTGTCAATTTCAGGAATCGAATTCACTTACTTAAAATTTCATAATCACAACATCACCTCAATCTTCACAGCTTAATTACAGTACCAAGTTCCTATGCATTCAATACATAACCTCAAACAAGTTTTCATTAGCACATGCATTAAAACAAGTACGATACTTATACAATAAACTATAACTCTTGTTCAAGTACTTACATGATCAATAACCAAGTCCACCCAGTGGAAAAAGAAGACGAAAACAATGGCACCTATCGCCACAAGCACCAGAGACACCAAAATCACGAACCCTGAAGAAAGAAAATAACATAACATTAGTACAAAACAGTCCGCTTCTTCCCTTCCGATGATACACAGTATTACACTTTTCATGTGCGGTTAGGATTAAAATGAAGTTTCATTCACCTTTACTGAATTTTACATTATATAAATATGTTCATCAACGAAGTGAACCGAGTTTTGTTTATTCCCTTGACAATCAGCATTTCAGACACAAAACATTATATAAAATACAAGTTCTTTAAAGATTTATGATACTCACAGCAATTTTTTACCGATTTACTCGTAGATATCCTAGGCCTCCTTTCTTCTTCGACATTTTCGTTAATCGATAGTAGTTTTCGATTTAGATCCATATTGATTCAAATACGTTTCTGATTGAGTTAGAAATAAATTTATTCGTTTATTAATGAAATTTGAATGCTATATAATTTTTTCGGATACGAGGTTAAATTAAGTTAATTCTAAAACTATTCAATAGGTGGCCAAGACGAAATATGAAAGAAATGTCGACGTTTAGTGAATTTTTTGAGTATAATTCGGTATTTATCATTTTAATCGCGTAATTAAAACTCAATTATACTGTTTTATATTACAACTATACCACTAACTAACGTATACCACTTCCGATACATCTAATACGTTGAAGGCTTTCGTGATGAATTCTATTTTCCTTGATGATAAGTATACACTGAGGTTTAGTTATTTTCTAAAAGTATTTAATATTATGTAATTGAGTACATTCATCATTGTTGCATTGTGACGATAGTTCAAAGCAATATTTCAAGAATATTGTATATTTTACTTACATTAGCAACATCTGCAACACAAGACATTCATGTTTCATCACAGATTTACTTTTTTCCTTGGCGTTAAACGTTTGTTTCTAACGAAACTTTGTCATATATTACAGAAGAAAATATCAGGTAGGGGATGTATTGAAAACAAAATCCCAAGGAAATAATTTCCGTTAATAATAATGTATTGCTTGTGTTGAAGTTTGTTTATACCAATTATAAATATTCAGACAAAATAAATAATTGTTTATAAAAAACAATGCTAATAGAAACTAATTTGGTAATCAAAAAAAATTATCCTCCTTCAATACAAATGATCTTGTCCCTTCTCTATGCAGTATCTAACTGCAAGTGGATTTCTTTGATACGATCCTTATCATACAGAACGTGCTACAAAAAAATCTGACGTCGTCAATCGCATTCTTCACCGTCGACCAAGAAATGTCTTTCTTAGACCCCATTAGATTTAAGAGAAAATTTCAATTTGGCATTTATATTTGGAAACTTACTGCAATAACGAATCTGTACACTATACAAATTGCCTACGGAATTTTAATTCTCATAAAGTACATTGATGCTTATGAATTTTAAAGATTAAAAACAATAAAATTAAGATCGAAAAAAAAATTATCTTTCGCTTGAAAAATCAACGTAATATAAGACAAACTAATCCTTAAATTTATAGTGATCTAATCACATAAATGGATATTTACAATATAACGAAATTAATGGTTCATGAAAAATAAACTTGAAAAAGTCAGGAAAATTAATGAAAGTAACAAAGTAGTTGGCCTGACTACAGACATCTAGGAAACCCCCCTCTCTCGCGCACGCACACATGCGATTTATTCTTTGCCAAGTAACCTTGACCAAAGGATGCCGAGAGGTTAAGAAGGAAGCGAATGGGTCCAGCGAATGGATCCAGCGAATGGGTCCGGAGAATGGGTCCGGAGAATGGGTCCGAGAATGGCGTCCGGAGAATGGGTCCGCGAGAATGGGTCCGGAGAAATGGCGTCGGAGAATGGGTCCGGAGAATGGGTCCGAGAAGGTCGGAGATGGGTCCGGAGAATGGGTCCGGAGAATGGGTCTGGAGAATATGGAAAGGGCGAGCTATAGACTCGTTGAGGTTTCCAGCTTAAATAATTTGACCAGAGGCTGGCGGAGATAATCGTCAACATTATATTCCCAAAACGTTTGAAAACGTTATAAGAACAATTTATGATACACGATTTAACCTAATTATTTTCGAGATATGATGTTGAAATAAATTAACTGTCCCAAACTCTTTAAAAGTGGCGAATTAAATTTTATGTATAACAATTTTTTCATGTAATGAATATTTTTCATTGGAAATTGTGTCTACGTAGCTCTGCGTACAATCTACGATCACAATTTTGTATCTAAATTTTAACCAATAAAACAACTGTACACTTTTTAAGTTTTAATCCTCTAGCACTCTACTAATTGCTTGTGAAAAGAAAGGAAAAAGTTCAAAATTTTACTAGTTTTTACCTGCTACATTACAGAAAATATTATAAAGTAAATCATCCGATACAATAGTAAATATATTATACTTCATAAAAATAATCCAAACCAAATTTACTCAATAACCATCAACGTAATCATTGTTTTTACTTTCACACTTTTCTTCCTCCTGTAAAACTGTCTCTAGATTTTCTGCTAGCCTTTTGACCAAATTTGAAAGGAATTCTGTGAATATTTCAGCAGCCTGGAAGCTTTTCAAGCCGCACTCTAGGCAGACTCCGTGCTTTCAATTCTGCGCCAAGGTAGTCGCGTCGTGAAAAACTGGTTGCCCGACCGGTTGCGAGCCTAACCCTCCATTTCAACTTTGCTTAGTAAGGTCAATGCTTCTTTAACCAGCATTATAAAATCCCAACATAATTGTTACGAACTTGTGACATAGCAACGAACACTATCGAGACAACACTTTACTCTATTTTTCTGTACCTAAATACTGTCATATTAGAAACTCATGGGATTGAAACGTAATAACTTCGCTTTTGACCGCCTAATTCTCGGTCGAGAACCTGAGATCTGCCCAGTAAAATAACTGTAAAGAGAATTGGGACAGTATTTCGCTTATTGCTTGGCGAGTAATAAATACAAGCTGTCCGGGCCGCTGTGATGTAGAGCACCCGCCATCAGTTGCAAAACACGAGCACACAAAGTGCCTCCACATTGCTCGCACGACGTTTTAGTGTTCTCGCCTCATTTCCAGTATTTCGCAACATGCGAGTTCATTATCCCAGTTTCTCATTTTGAGTACCTGAAGTGTGAATTTTATTCACTAGCTACCGCAGAAAATGCCAAAAATGTATCGACGCAACAAAAACTGACAGTATAATAATGATTTTGTACTTATGACTAATAATATTGCATTGTTCTATCTTTGACACATTTTTTCTAAACTTAAAGCAATTATTATTTAATAAGTTAAGTAAGAGATTGAAGTTTTTAATCCGCCATACAACTATGAATAATAAAAACACAAATTAAATTTATTCTTATAACTTCATTATATTCATGAAAGCAGTCATAAATCTGGGTTCTGCAAAAACCACATTTCGAGTGGATTTACTAAAAATGCTTATTTTTGTAAATAATCCTACAATACAATTTATCTGTGGGTCATTACACAGATCTGATCACATCCTGCCCACACCGTGGAGTCCATTTGTCGTATCACTTAGGTGACATGGACAAACTGTAGTCTATTCAAGTAACTCTCCTACAGTCTCCATGTTGGGGCCACACGGGCAATCCGATGCTCGAGCAAGGAATTGAAACTCGGAGCTGCTGAAGTCACATTTATAACGAAAGAATGGATCATGAACTCAACGATAATAATAAATTAAACATTATGTGTGAAAGCGTTTCACAGTTTTGATTATAATTGTGATACTACTGAAGAATTCTGAAACTAAAGTAGTTTAGATCAATATAGCTTAGAAATAAAAAAAAATGAAATCTCATAATTCAACGAATAGGAAAGTCTAGGCATACTATTAATGATCTATCATAAAATTGTCCATTTCTGTGCAGAATACATTTTTCAAATATTTATGTAATGTGAGTACCGGTTTCCCTCTGATTTAGTTGTATACCAATAACTCAAACTACCCGAGTTGGTTGTGCGAAAGTTTACATGGGCAACAATGGATTTCCATCTTGTGATAGCTACAACTCCGATTCCGTTTATTCACCGCCAATCTCACGAGCTTGATTTGACCTAAAACTCTTTGACTTTCATGATTCTACAAGGAGTTCAATGGATGGTGAAGTGGGAAAAGTGGTCGTGCCCTGGTTATTGCAAAGCCACACAGCCCATCTGCTACCTTTCAATAAGGCGGTTTATGGCGCTTGTTCTCTGAGTAATTTCCGTTCGCCAAAAGTATTGGGACGAGACGATTTATGTGTCATAACACTTCGCGTGTGCCACATTTCTTCGTAAAAATGTTTAGAATTACGTTTATTGTTAGAAACTATTTAATAGTTGACGAATATATTATTTTTCTTCAGAAATATAATACCTTGATGAAAATAAAGCAAAGTAAATGTAATTAATCATTATATAAAATGATTTCATCAATTCTAAATTACCATTAATATGAAAATATGAATATGAATTAATAATAATATTATAATTTTAAGTACACGCGTGTGTTTTTTTATTGTGAACGTGTTGGTTCTCTCTACTCATCCACGACAATTTTTGGTATAATTGCATTTGACTGTAGTGCTGTGAATGATGAATGAGACAATTAGTTCGAGGCGCATCCAGAAAGTAAATCATCAAAGAAAACAAAAACAATTTCATCGGAAAACTATATAGAAGTAGGTGCAACGCTTGTTGCTCTATTTTCTACATAATCACTAACAGAATTAAGACGTTTGCCATACAGTGGGATCAACATTTGTGACACTGTCTCTTAAAAGTCTGCCATCTAGGACAGACACCAATATTTGACAGCAAATCAACGAGACTGTAATACGCCTAATACTGACCAGATTGAAGTTTATTTGTTTCTAAGACTGTCATTGATCATTACAAATATTCACTCACTCAATTGAAAAATTTAGTGACGTTTGCAAGGTTTGTATAAATAACTTCAAAGAAATATCCTTATTTATTTTAAGAAACAAACAAAAACCATTATTCAAAAGAATTTCAAGGTAATATTTTTTTCTCTCTTTTCAACTGCAGTTTATTTTCCCATTTCATTATTAATATTACATTTTCTACATATACGTGGGTCAGTCAGAAAGCAGTGCTTCCTATTTTTCTCCTTATATAAAATTAGTTAAGCGAAAAATGGCCAACATCGATGTTTGTTCGAAACAGCGTTGTGAGATTGACTCCTTGGATGCCGAAAGTGAAATGTCCATTCATTCATGAAGTGATGAAAAATGTGTTCGGTGATGCAACAGTGGATGTCTGCACTGTGAAACGATGGGTTCATAACGAAGGTGAAGGGGTGAACGCTGGGTGACTGCACACGAATTGAGAGCGATAATGCGACTAGTCATCTGCAGTCATCCGACGGTCAGCATGAATGATGACATCGACTTGCTGAATGTCGCGTTGCATGACCGCAGTCACAGACCTGCCGCTCCAATTTTCGTCAGCCAACGATGTTTGCCCTTCTGCTTCGTTACAGCGACGAACACTTCGTCTAACAGAACAGACGACCACTGTTGCGCCACCATACACATTTTTCAGTCTTTCATGAATGAGAATGGGCATTTCACCTTCTGCATTCAAAAATTCAATCATATAACAACGCTGTTTCACACGACCATCGATGTCGGTGTTTTAAGGGAGTGCTCTGCTGCCACATATTGACGCAGAACGTTAAAACTGCAGTGGATTAAAGAAGATTTGAGGAGTAGTACAAATTCAAATTTTTCACAAAACCAATTTTAAGAAGAAAAAGATAGAACGCTTTGCCTTTTGACTGACCGTCGTATATTATGATTAACTGCGATTTTTCACGACATCAAGTTCCTCTCTTTAGAGCTTGCTACAAACTTATGCCTTCCATTCTGGCGAGATAGGATTGAATTGAATTGAATTGATGCCTTATTTTACGTAGCGAGACTCGGGCCATCAGGCCCACTCTTCCGTCCGAGTAGGATAGAATGATGAGACGACGAAGATGAAATATAAGCAAATGAATAACTGAAACTTTGGAAACTATAAAATCTAGTGCACGTCCGTTTGACATGCTCGAAATGCAATAGAGATCGACTTAATTTCAACCCGGGCACGCGAGGTAGAACGCAGTGCGTCGGATACTGCGCTTCGTTGGCTTGGAGATTCCGGTTCTCATGCCGGCGAGAGGCCTTCCCCCGTTCTTTAAGCAGGTGCATGTACCAACTACTATTCCAGTTCGTCAACAGCGTCTCTCGCTCTCCAGTTTCGTAAACGCGAGAATTCAGCCACGCTCGCCAACACCTCGCAGCGCTGCACGCGGCGGAGAGGAGAGCTTGCTCAACCCGGCGGCGGCGGCGTTCTCAAGCTCGCGCTGGCACTTGTTTCCTGCGCCTTTCACCGCAGAAATAACCAGCGCGCGCGAGTCACAGCGGCGGCGGCGGTGGTGGAGGCGGAGCCGGAGCGGTGGAGGCGGTGGAGGAGGCGGTGGTGGTTGTGAGGAGGGGGGGTGGTGGAGGAGGGGTGGTGGTTGTGAGGCGGTGGGCGGTGGTGGAGGAGGGTCCGGTGGGGTTCGGTGGGCGTGGCGGTGGCGGTGGCGGTGGCGTGGCGTGCGGTGGCGGTGGCGGTTGGCGTGGCGGTGCGGTGGCGGGTGGCGGGGCGGGGCGCGCGGCGGCGGCGGCGGCGGCGGCGGCGGCGGCGGGCGGCGGGCGGCGGCGGGCGCGGTGGCGGTGGTGGCGGGGGCGGCGGCGGCGGGGCGGCGGCGGCGGCGGCGGGTGGCGGCATTGCGTTCTGCAGTCAATGGCCTCCGATGCGTCTCTTTGCACTAGTCCAGGCGCAACGCCGCGTCATTGTTTTTTGGCGATCCACACTCCAAACCATCGTCCCGTAACGCAACTTCGCGATTGCCTAGCGTAACAGTTGAAATCCGCAACAGAATGCACAAAAGCGTCAAAATATAATAAAGTAACAGAATTAAATTTTACGGTACTTCGTTCAAATAGTCTCAGCTAGATGGGGGAGAACGACTCCTCTGAGTTAGGCAGAACAAACACGAAATTGTCAAACAAAACAAGTGTATAGAGCTAGAACGCACTAGTACGTCAACCTAATTCCTGTGATATTAGTGAACTTGTGCAACACAGGTGGCTTGTAGTAAAACAATTCAAGGGCTGTATAATAATTGCCATTTCACTCATAAGCCGTTCGACCGACAAGACTAGAGATCTGTCTCACACGCGGCAAAGTCAATTAGGCCTCAGGCTAAATTTCTAGGTCGACGCTGAAAGGACTGACAGCTTGTGAGAATGTACCGCAGCGTGTGAGTCCGTAAGTGTCGTGCACAAGAAACAAATCTCAGAGACATTTCCAGTCGAACTGCTTCATCGCGACTGCGCGAACTGAGGAGGGCAATGTTCGCCAGTCGGCCGGGTCACTTCCGTATAATTTTTTTCGTATCAACAGATTTTGATGATCAAAGAACCAAACAATCTTGGAGTTCTGTGGTTATTCATCTGTCACGTGCTAATAAATATTAGTGATGCGTTAATAACCGTTAAATCAAACGAGCATCGTTTCTTCATGAGAGAATAACCTGAAGCGAATCGGTCTCTATATCAAAGGTTCAATCTTTCAAAACTTTACTAAGATGTCTCCAGTAACTTTTTGACTTACAACTTAATTTTTTTACAATTAATAATAATAATAATAAATAAATAAATAAATAATTGTAAAAAATTAAGTTGTAAGTAAAAAAAGTTACTGGAGATATCTTAGTAAAATTTTGAAAGATTGAACCCTATTATTAATATTATTATTAATATTATTAAGAATTTTTAGCACAGTGGCATAAATGCTGATGCAGGTTTTGAACAATGTTCCCTAATATCTGGGAAGATAATTATGAAAACACGTCGTAGCACATGTCGGTGATGCACAAGAAAAGTGACATTAAATAATATTGTCATTATCGAGGATAACTATTTCATTCTGAGCGTATTGCTTTATTTTGCTGTCATTCTTACTTTTTTGCTCCATATACGCTCGCAGCCATTTTGCTCCATCGCCCTTTTAAACGTTTATTTCCTCGACTAAAAGATAATATTTTTTTAGTTTTGTTACTTTATTGGCACCACTCATCAAGAAGCATAAAATCGCTAAAATAGCACCGTCGTAGGTATTAGAACATTGTAATCAGTTCTCTTAAACTCCACCATACCTTTAAATACCACTGTACTAAATTTCCATGTATATCACTTGACAATCGTTCATATTTTGGTGTATTATTCTGAATTTGTCGTCACCCGGAAAAGAAACCAAGAACAAAACTAGACTAAGGTATTCTTGAACAAGATCTTGTATAAAACTCATTGTATGGAGAGTATTCATTCTTGAATTATTTTCAAAACAATGTCCTTTGGATATTTCCAGAAGACACTTGAGTTCTCCAAACAAATGTTTTAGAAACGTTCAGTAATGAATTTCATTGAGCATGAACTACTTTTATCATAGAAAATCCCAATTAAAGATTTGTTTCTAGGCGTGAGCACGAAAAGTACATACTATTTTCAAACAAAATTACGTTTCAGATTCTGTGTAAATAATAAAATTCAACCGTACATACATGAGAAATTTTATTTCCATTACAACTTCATGTTATTATTAGTACGTATTGTATCACGAAAACTTGTTCTGATGTTAGAGAACAGCCTTGTACTGAAGCAAATTACAAATTATTTTAAATATTCTGCTTAGATCCACTGCACACATTTTGTTTTTAAAGTTAGAACATTGTAGTTGTCTACAAGAATCGCAAATATAACCTGAAGAGAGTTTTGTTAATAATACACCGTTGCCCTTTTTATCGAGACAAATACCATTTTTTCTTTCCAGAAATCGTGTTCCAAACTTCAACTTATTTGAACTAATGATCGATATTCAGCGAATTACGATTTAAGAATTAATTTCCTATTTCATGGAATTAAGAAGAAAAAAACGGGATACGTAAATTCAGAAATATTTCATTTCATACGTAGTGTTAGTGCATAGATGATTTAAGTCGTCACAAAAACTGGAGAAGGTGTGAGGAAATTCCAAACATAAGAAACATTCCTGAGAGTCCTTGAACCGTCTTGCTCATAGTGAACTCTGAACACATCCTAGAAAAACCTGTTTGATAGCTCTACTATTTACGGCTGTCAAGCAATGCATTTTCCTGCGACGGTGAAGAGAAGCGATGTGGTTATAGTATTAAGTAACAGTGACTAAGAGTTGCAAGAGATGTAATAAACAGGTTGTTTACATTGAATTCCAGGATTGTAGGATCTATATTCTTCTGAACAATATATCATCTTTCTACCGTTAAAAGCAATAAATTTGAAATTTCCTTATCAAATACCATTTACAAATTTTACTAAAGCAGAAACGGGTATATTGCTTTGTTGGAAGAGAGTGAATCTTCACAACTCCAGTACTTTCAAAAACTGAAATCTTGTGAAATCTCCAATAATTTTTAACATACAAACACACAAGTCTTCTATGTTTGCATGGAAAAATTAAAATGATTGTAGTAATACTGATGACAACCCAGAATTTTAAATTTTTCATTATTTAAGCAAATTCTATAACCACAATGAAAAATAATTTCATTGTAATAGCGTTTCAGTGTAATTAGTTTTTCGATCATTCATATATGTTTCTACATTAGTTCCTGGCAAATAATTTGAAAATTACTCTTTATTTCATATTTATGTTCTATAATCTACATTTTTCATATATTCTTATCTTATAAATATATTAATATCTATATTCCTCGGGATAATTTGTAAAGAGAGAAAATCAACTTTTAATATGTTCTACTCAACAGGTCACATGCACACAGGAATATGATCTCCCCAATTTTTTGTTTCGCAATGTATCTTGTCCCGTTTCTCAATCTTACTCAAATGACTTTGCTCAAAAAACACTTATCAAATTAATGAAGGCAGCAAACAGAGAACTACCCACATACATATTACTTTTAACTCTTTCCTGAAGCATCTAAAAAATTTAATTCCAAAATTTTAGAAGCATTTTTTCTTAGAAGTATGGTGTTCTAATATGTTCCAGAGCAAAAGGAGCAAAATTTTTACAAATATTTCGGTATTCACGTAGTTATTAAGTTTATTTACAGATATTTTGGTTAATTTTAAAAAAAGGGCAGTTTTGTTTCAAAACAAAGCATCTTCAATATTTTAAATTAAGCTCCTTTGCAAAATAGATTCTTTCAATTTGAAAAGTATTAATATTTGTATTCTAGCCTTTTTAAAACGAGGTCTATCTTCTTCACTAATTTAGTTTTCTTGCTTCACACTTTTAGAGCGAGTTTGTTTCAACCCTAGATGTCATTTCCCTTCCATTCTGCAGATTTCTCGACCTCGAAAATCTGCTGGACATGCAAAGATTCTGAGTTTTTTCATCAATCATTTAATTTCACAAAAGACCCTACAATAATGTCAATGCGATAACACTAACTCCTGTATGGATGTTAGTTTCTGCTTCGTTCGTAAGTCTAAGAATGTTTTAGTCAATATAACATTTATTCCGATAACCAACGACCAATAACATTTGTTCATCGATAATTTCTTCAAATATTGGGCAGTAACGCGTTTATATGAACTTTCTGAACTTCAGTGGATTCTGGCGAGGGAGCACATGCATATTAAGTCTTGCAATTAACACAAAACGCTTCAAAAAACTTTATTTCAATATCATTCTTGTTGTCTGAAGGAAATAGCATTGCTCCCTGGGCGCATTGTCGATTTCTGCAGCGACTGACTGGGAGGTCCTAATGTTCGAGTCCCTTCGGGGCGCACTTTCGACAAGGTAGTATGCAGCTACGTGGAAATCAACCGCCGATGGAGATCAATTCCAGCGCCTGGTTATTTTGATCGGTGGTTTTCCGTGATTTCACGAAACAAAACCACGCGAATGCCGGAGGAGTACCCCGAAGAAAACGAGCCACGGCGATTTTTCCTCCCACCCCTTGTCCTATCCTATTCATCTCCCCCGGCACACACACACACACACCCACACACACACCCACACACACACACCCACACACACACCCACACACACACCCACACACACACCCACACACACACCCACACACACACACACACACACACCCACACACACACCCACACACACACACACGCGCACACGCACTACTATGTCGATTGGTATATCGATGTGAGTGGTAGAGTTCTGGCTGGAGGGGGCAGTTCCCCGTTGGGGAGATACCTTGGTGAGGAAAATTCCCCTGAAAGCAGTCGGACACGTCGGCGTCGGATCTCGCTACCAAGCGCGGCAAGATCACCGCTTCTTCTCGGTATAAAAACATACAATCGAGACTAATGACCGTAGCAGTTCATGTCCTCGGAAACATCAAATAATCAGTGAATCGAAGGTTTGATTCCAAGTTTTTAATTTCCCTACAATAACTTTTGTTGTTAATTTTTATTCTGAAATTAATTCTGAAATTTCTGGCGCAAATTGAATAATGTACGTGTTTACCAAACAAAACATTGTTTTAACTTAAATAGTCGAGGATAAAACAACTTAAAACAAAAATACATGTTCACATTTACATATTTAGTTGTTCCCTAAAAGTACATTTCCTCTGTATTTTTGTACTGGAAATTATTTCAAAGCACTCAAAGAAATCTTCATGTACAAGGGATCAAAGATCGCAGCACGTGAAGGTCAGTTGGGCAATAAACAGTTCGATCACCTGTCTGATACTTGATCATTACAAATAATTTTATACCATTCCTAACGATGAATTTG